TGACCTATCCCCTTCCTAACTCCCTACCTACACTCACCTTTCCTGGCTCCATCCCCGCCTCTTCGACCTGTTTGTTTCCTCTCCACCTATCCTCTCCTCTATCCCTCTTCTATCCGCCTCCCACTCTCTCCCTATTTATTTCAAAACCCCCTTCCCCTCCCCCTTTTCTGATGAAGGGTCTAGGCCCGAAACGTCAGCCTCTCTGCTCCTATGATGCTGCTTGGCCTGCTGTGTTCATCCAGCCCTGCACCTCGTTCTCGGATTCTCCAGCATCTGCAGTTCCTACTATCTCTCACACCATATCCTGTTTACCCATTATGCCTGTGCTTGCTGACCTGGACTGGCAGTGTCTGAATTGTAAGATTCTAATCCTTGTTCCCAAAATCCCTGCACAGCCTCACACTATCCTACCTAAGTAACCCACTCCACCGCTCTGAGCTCTCCACTCTCCTGCAATTCTTGTTGCTTGTACATTGGCTGGTTCCATTAATCCTACTAATTGCTTGGTCTTGGATGCTTTCTAATTGACCTGCTCAGGGATGTTATCACAAATCTCTGGAGCAGGTAGGGCTTGAACCCAGATCTCCTGGCTTCCAGGTGTGGACACTACCACAAGAACTCCCTGGTACTGTAGCCAGTATTCCCAGGTGATCTCCCCATCCAAGGCTTGGGTCTAGAGGAAGGTTGGAAGGCTTTAGCAGGTCAGGTCACATTTCCAGAGAGAAAAAAGTTTCGGGTATTTGATTTTTCATCTCAGATTTCCAGCATTTGCAATATTCTGTTTCTAGCCTATTCTGTGGCTGGCTGTCAAATTTTGGTCTGTTAACGTTCTTGCGAAATCCCTTGGAATAGTTTAAGATGTTAAAGGCGCTATACAAATGCAAGCTGTTGATGCACCTGCCAACCGCATCAAGGTGCATCTTTTCTATCAACACAACATCTAAGTATCTTTTCTAAGCTGCAGAGCCCGATGGAAGATGCTGATGCTGCAAACTGGAATGGAACAAAAGAACCGCTCGCTCTGCCTGTGGCGCTGCAGTGCGGTCCTCCGGACAGGCAGCGGCACTGTGACTGCCTGTGGTGACGCAGCGCTGGTCCTCCGGACCTGCGGGGACGCTGTGACTGCCCGTGGCGATGTAGCGCCGGTCCTCCGGACAGGCGGCGGCGCTGCGACTGCCCGTGGAGCTGCAGTGCTGGTCCTCCGGACAGGCGGCGGCGCTGCTCCGGTGGGGATCAGTGGGTTCGGCTGCAGTGGCGGTGCCGAAAGTGTAATGGCGGAATCGTTGTGATTCTCTCTCGAAGACTGACCGTTTGCCTGTGAGAAAAGGAACGAAGCCCGGCTTCCCTTTCCCTAGCCTCTTTCTTTTCTCTCCCCTCCCCCTCCCTCCTCCATGGCGGCGGCGGGGACCGAGCTGATCGGGAAGCGGTTGCTGTGCCTGTTCGGGGACTCGGCGAGTGGGGCCGCTCGGCCCGGCCAGGCAGCGTCCGCCTCTCTCCGGGAGCGGGACTGGCACGCTGGCCTGATCCGGGCCGTCATCCTGGGCCCCTCACTGACGGTGAGTATACGGGGCAGGGTTCACGGTCTTGGGGGTTGTCGGGGGCGGGTGGGCGGGAAGGGTCGGATTGTAGGCCCCGGGGGGAGTGGGGGGTGGGGGGTTGGGGGTTGGGGGTTGGGGGGGGGAGGGTCAGCCTCAATGGAAGCAGAAGGAAAGAGTTCGGGGAAGTGAAGGGAGATGGCGAGGCCGCCGCCATTCACATTTACTAAACCCCCCCACCCACCGACCCCATTGTTGGAGATAACCAGGGGGTTAGTGAGTGGCTGCACTTGGTGCATACTCTACGTTCAACACAAACAACCCTGCAGTGACCTGCTGTTTCTCCTGTAACAGCTTTCCCTCAGCCTCGGGCTGTGTTCGGAGCAGTATTCCATCACCTTGGGGTCTGTTGTTTGTGGGGGTTGGTGGAAGGACACATTTACACACACTGGCGTCCCTCCCCCCGGTGTGCGTGTGTGTGTGTGTACAATCTCTCACACACTCCGTTTAAAACAAACAACAAAGAAGCTGCTGCTGCAAACGCGCCCGCAGCCGTCCAGGCTAAGGGGACATCAGCGCTATGCGGTGTGTTTTTGTCTGTTTATGTGCGTGCCTGCTCTCTGAGGTTGCACCATTGGAAGATCAATTTCTAAATTACACCAGTAATTTGGGGGAGTTTACTTATATGGCTGGAGATAAAGGCTAGATTACAAAGTGTCTGGTTACAATGGCTGGTTGAAGTCCAGAGGGTTTTTCTGGTCTCCTGTGGTGAGGTTTCTTTTTGCATAACCTCAAGTGTATGACATCACATGAAACACACAAAAGTAGGAATTCAGAGTAGTTTTACTGGGTGTCGCACTGAAATTCCTGTAGATTTGCATAATTTGGGATTGCATTATTCCATTTAATTTGCTGTGCAGTCCTTCAAACTTGTGTTCAGAAGGTGGTGTAGGCAAATCAAAACTTGTTCTATTTTAAATGCTTTGTTGTGATTAGTTAAAAATGAGAATGAGTAAGGAATCTGTGTTTAGAGAGATACTTTCAAACGATTCATCACTATCAGCGCATGGTGTCTGTTTTAGGAACTAATGATCATTATGTGTTATCAACATACCTGTCTAGTCATGCTTGTTTGAATGAAATCATTTGATCAGAATTGTTGATGGACAATATTTCATTAGATAATTCAGGTCCTCAAGCTTGTTTGAATACTTTGTGGAGTCCTGTCTAATTTATTCGGTGAAGCCCTGTCCAATTCATATCTATACTGTATCCACTCATTGTCTTCACACTAATTTTCAAGAACTCAGTATTGCTGGAGATCTGAAACAAACACTGAAAACACAAGAAGTCCATCAAGACCTGGTTCAAATGAGATTTGAGATCTGTCCCGATCACTATCTGATCATACATCTTGTTCCTGATATTTCCATATGTTGATGTTTTTGGTTACCTGAGAGTTGCCCTTTTTGTTTTATGGTTTGTTTAAATTGTTAATACTGTAAAAATTATTCAATAGTTTTATTTCTAGACTGTTTGAATATATCCCTGTTAAATGAGGAGCTAGACAGATTTTTAATTAGTAATAAGTTGAAGGGCTGTTGAGAACTGGCAGGAAAGTGGAGTTGAGGCCGAAATGACGTCAACCATGATTGTATTAAATGGTGGAGCAGGAGTCAAGGGGCTGAATGGCCTACTCCTGCTCCTAGTTCTTATGTTCTAAGAACTTGTGATTGGGGTGAAGGGAAGGACTATCTGGATGAATCACCTATTATGGGCAAGGTGTCTTTGTGGAGAGCACATGGGCTGAATTCCCACAGTGATCCACGTAATTAGGACAGTATGTCAAAATGGCAGTTCGCACCGAATGTGTAAAGATATGATCAGAATTTGTCAGTATAGCTAAAATCTCTCTTGCATTTTATCTAAAAAGTTATTTCAGAGTGAGGACCTTGTCAACAACATATATAAAGTGTAACATAAAAGGCAGTCTCATCAAACAATTTCACTAACATATAATGATCATGTTATTTTTGTATCTTAAGAATCAAATTGAAGAATGTCATGAAATATAATTGATTCTTTCCCCTGCCAAACTTGTTTCGCCGTCTTCTGTTTAGTATGTTGTTAGCATTGTGATTAATGAAACTAGTAACACTAGAACATCCAGAAAAGAAGTACTTATTCATAATTGCCCAGGGAATTCAATATTGTTTGGCTTTAGAATTGAAAGGATGTAGTGTCTTGTATATTAGCTAATGAAGATGCCATAGGTGAACATTTGCTGACATAAGTGTTTTGAATTTTTGCATTTTGAAGCTTATATTGGACTTGGGAGCGCTAATGGAATGTTATCCTTTATTACAAGAGAAATTGAACATAAAAGTTAAGATACTATGCTTCAGTTATGCAGGGCATTGATGAGACCACATTCAAATGCTGTGTGCAGTTTAGTCGTCTTATTTAAGGAAGGAGAAAAGTATGCCAGAAGCAGTTTAGAGGAGGTTCATTAGATTGAGACCTGGAATCAGTCTTCTGAGGAAAGGTTGGATAGACTGGGCTTGTTTCCACTGGAGTTTAGAGAGTAAGGAGTGACTTCACCAAAGTACATAAGATTCTGAATGGATGTGGAAATGATATTTTCTGTTGTGGGTGAGTCCAGAACAGGATTCAGGGGAACATTGGTTTAAAATTAGAGGTTGCTTTTTTTTTAAGAAACACATGAGAATTTTTTTTCTTTGACGGTTTTGCAGCTTTGTAATTCTCTGCCCCAGGATGCAAAGTCGTTGAATATTTTTAAGCCAGAGGTAGATAGGTTCTTGTTACAATCAAAATACTGGGAGTAGATGGGAATGTGGAATTCGGAGCACAACCAATCAGCTATGATCTTGTTGAATAGTGTTACGGGGTTGAGGGGCTGATTGGCATACTTGTGGAATTTATATGTTTGATAGTTATTCTGGCTATTTGACAAAAAGGATTCTGTTTAGTGACTTCAAGTCAGTTCTAGTTTTAAGTACACACATGCGGATATCAAATGTACTCACTGATTCAGTTGTATGTATTATTCATTGGGACTCCCTTAACCATTTATGTCTCCTTTACTGGTATACTCAGCTGACTTCCAAAAGGCAGAAAGAAAACAGGAAGCATAGGTTTCTGAATAAGGAGAGACGATATCAAATCAGTGGTGCTGTTTTAAGTTTATGCTGGGCTAGAGGATCTGAGGGTATATGTGTGTAACTTGTTTAAGGTGGCTGTTCAGGTTGGGAGACTGGAACAAGAAGCAGATGGGATCCTGAGTTTAACAAAGACAAAGTACATAAGAAAGGAATTTACAACCAACCTTCATAAAACACTGGGCTGGCCACAGTCAGAATATTGCTTCCAGTTCTGGGCACCACACTTCAGTGAGAATGGAAAGGCTTCAGAGAGGATGTAGATTGGATTTTTAAGAATGATTTCAGCAACAAGGACTTCATTTAAGTGGATTAAAAGGGGCTATTTCTCTTAGAGAAGGGAAAGTTGACGGAGATTTGATAGAAGTATTCAAAATAATGAGTCTGGCCGGAATAGTTAAGGAGAGCCAAAGGACACTGATTTGTTATGAATGGAGAATGAGTCATGTGTATTCTTTTATTTTTGTTCCAACCGGTGGTTTGGATCTGGAATGCATTCCATGAGAGTGTGGTGGAGGCAGATTCAGTTCAACCTTACAGAAGGGAATTGGATAAGCACCTGTAGAGAGAACATTTGCAAGGCGATAGGGAAAGCCTGGGGAAACCAGAATATGGAAACAGTCTGGATAGAGATGAGGAATGATAAAGGCAAGAAATCACTTGTGGGAATTGTGTACAGGCTCCCTAGCAGTAACCTCATGCTAGGACAGAGTATCAAGAAATAATGAGAGCTTGTCAAAAGGCACAGCAATTATCCTGGGGAATTTTAACCAACATGTAGACTGGAAAAATCAGATGGATCGAAGTAATCTGGAGGAGGAATTCATTGAATGTTTTTGGGACAGTTTCTTAGACCAATATGTTCTGTTACCAACCAGAGAGCAGAGTATATAAGACCTGGTTTTGACCAGTGAGGTTGAATTAATTACTGACCGCATAGTGAAAGTGTCCCAAGGTAGCAGTGATCATAACGTTATTGAATTTTATTTGTACTTTAAGGGAGAGAAATGTGAGTCCAAGTATGCTATTTTGATTTTAAACAAGGATAATTATGAAGGTATGAACGTAGAGCTAGCAAAAGTGGACTGACAATTTAGGTTAACGGATAGGTCAACAGAGATGCCGTGGCAGCCATTTAAAGGGGATATTCCAGAAAGTGCAGAACAGATGTATTTCAATAACAAAAAGACATATAATACTGCAAAGATAGGTAGCAGGTCAGAAGATTGGACAGAATATATAAAAAAAATTAAAAGATTAAGAAGGAGGGAAAGACTAAGGTATGAAAGAAAGTTAGCGAAAAATAGAAAACGTTTCTTCAGATATTTAAAAAAGAAAATATGAACAGAGTAAGTGTTGGCCCTTTAGAAAATGAGTCTGAGGAATTGCTAATGGAGGACGAAGACAGCAAACAAATTGAACAGATATTTTGCATCAGTCTTCACTAGGGACGATCCAAGTAGCATCCCAGAAACAGATGTAATTTGGGAATTGAAAAGGAAGGAAGAATTCCAAAAAATTATGAATGGCAGGGAAGTAATACTGAGCTAAATATTGGAACTGAGAGTTGACAAGGCCCCAGGTCCTAATGGGTTTCAGCCAAGGGTCTTAGAAGAAGTTGCCAGTGAAGCAGTTGATGTTTTGGTTTTAATTGTCCAAAACTTGTTAGATTCAGGGAAGGTTGGAAAATAGCTAACGTAACCACTTTATTCAAAAAGAGATGGAGGCCAAAAACCAGAAACTACAGGCCACTTAGCTTAACATCTGTCATAAGGAAAATGTTGGAGGCTGTTATTAAGACGTTATAATAGGGCAGTTGGGTAAGAACATGGTAATTAGAGC